ATTTTGTTAACTTTAATGTTTAGCACTTTCAATTTCCACCTTTCCCCTTTTCCAATGCAAGGATTTAGGATTTTTTCTCAAGTAGTATTTTAGCTATATCCCACAAGTGTCAATATACAGTATTTTTATTATAACTCAGTTTTAAAGATTTTGATTCCCCTTATGGCATCTTTATTGATAATTCAAAAGTGTTTAAAATGTTCAATTATTCTTATATTATCTTTTCATTATGTTGTAGACATACAATGATACTGATCTTTTGTATTTGACTTATGGAGGATGTGGTTAATAGTTACATATGCTCCATGTGTGCCTGGATGGCAGGATGGTGGACTGAGGAGAGGGGAGGAGGGCCACTCTGGATTGGAGGGGCCTGGAAGTCTGTTAGAGGCATTGTGAAGCACCAAGGAGAGCCGCCCAGGAGGCAGAGGCTGATGGCCAAAGTCAGGTGAGAACAAAATCTCTCAGGGGAGTGGGGTAAGAAAGCCAGAAACTGTGGTCTAGGCCATTCTGGAATGGTAAATGGGGCATCTTTGGTAACCTTGCTTTTTATATGCGTATCAGCATCTCTTGACTCCCTAAGGGCAGAGTATCCAGAGTATCTGTGGCCTAACGGGTGTGGTGGAGTCCTGCCTACCTGCTGCTGCTGTCAGCCCAACCCCAAAATGTCAGTCCTCCTCCTGCCATCACACCCAACAGGCATCCCTCTTTGTCTTGAGCGTTGTTCAGTGTTCCAGGCCCCCTTTGACTAAGAAGGTAAACTGGAACCCCAAATCAGTTCGGTCCAGAGCAGATTATAGGCAAGGGAAGGTGCAGGGGCTGGGTGGCATCACAAACAACCCTGACCTGCTTAACTGTTCTGCCTGCCACCAGCCCTGCCCCAGGCACAAGTCACTCCTCAATGTGCAGGTCTCAGCTGGATGGATTTCTAGGTCATTCGCTGGGCCCAGTGCCTTCCTGGCCCACCTGCACCCAGATAAGGGACTGGCTGGACTGTGGTAGTGCGGCTGGACAGTAAGGAACTCACAACAGAAGGGCCTCAGATTACACATCAGAAAAGCCCTCACTGGTTTCACCTGGGAAGGATGACATGGGACTTCGGGATGCCTGGATGTTTGGGATCCCTGGGATGTGAAAAGAGATGACTCTCTGGGATGTTTTGGAGGCAGGTGCACAAAGCCTGTGTTATGGTGCCACCTTGTCACATGAGGCCTTGTACCTTTCACTGCCTGGGAACTTTCTCATCTGTGTGCGCATATATCAGAGAAAGGGACCGAGAGAGAGAGAGACTCAGGGATAGAGGGACAGAGAATTATACTTACCTGGTGCTTTGCAGTTTACAAAATATTTTTCCATCCTTTAACCTTTGCAGCCTCAGTTCCCTGTAGTAAAATGGGCATGGCAGTTGTCACCACTTTGTAGGATTATTAGGAGACGGTAGAAGTCAATATATGTAAGACAGTGAGCCGAGTGGCAGGTGAACGTTATTCATTAACTCAGTGGAGTTTCACAACAGGGAGAGGTAGGCAAGTCAAGTATTATTACCCCTGCTTTACAGATGAACACCTCCGAGTTGGAAAGTGCGTAGTTCAAGGTCACTCAGACTTAAGAGCAGTAGAGCCTGGCCCCCACCCCCCATTTGCCTGGGGTCAGTTGCGAAGGGCCGCGCTCCCGCCAGGGGGCACACGCGGGACGGGTAATGTCACTTTCCCTCCTCGCTCGCCGCTAGGCGGGGCTGAGCTAGACCCGGGCTCTCTCCGTTCCCGGCCCGGCCCTGCGGTTCTCGCTGCCCTGCCAGAGGCAGGGACCCCAGTGGCGGTTCGCACTTGGCTGGGGCAAAGGAAATAAGGCCTAGTTCTCAAAGATGCTGGGGAGGAGACCCAAGAATGTGCAGGGAGGAGCAGCGAGCCACTTAGACCAAGGTGGGAAGGGGGCAGGGAGTGCACCAGGCTGAGGGGGTCCTAATGACTCTTGGCACCACGTATCTTTAAGGGGCCTCACCTCCTGCACCCAGACTCCACTGCAGAGTCCCTCAATTTCCTTAGTATGTCTGTGCATGTCACCCTGTTTAAAGAACAAGGATCTGGGCCACAGAGGATGGTTGACTTGTCCAGGGTCACACAGGTGGCATTTGGCAGGCACAAGATGGAATCCTAGGCTGTAAATCGGAACCCCTCCCCCCAACCATAGAAAGGCCTGGGAGAGGGTGGCTGTGATGAACAGAAGCCCCCACTTTGTGGGGTCCTGCTGACTCGTTTAGCACTTGCCCTGCCGTTTGGAGCCAGCCAGCCAACTGGCTCACTGGTACGGAGCACTAGGGCTGCCAAGGCTGTGGAGGGATCTAGTGAGCACATACTTCCTGGAGGAGACCCACACAGGAAGCCAGGTCATGTGGAGATGAGCTAGTCCCAGCAGGGACTCAGGCTCTCAATGGGCTGGGGGGCGGGGGGTGGGTAGGAAGCAAGAACCATGGGCTCTGCCTGAGATGCCCATCTCCACACTCCCTGCCAACTTGCCCCACCCGCCAGATGGGCCTCACCACCAGCCTGCCCCTCTTCCTGTGTCAAGACTTGGGTCTTAGGCAGGGCCTGCTGGCCAGAGAACCAGCCTATCTCTTTAAAGTGACTCTGCACTTTTCTGCTCACACCCATTTTGAATCACTATAACATAACATTGAGAATAATTTTCCCAATTGGGGGTTTCCTGTCAAGCATCCCCACTTCATAGTAGCCTCACCACGTTCTTTCCATATTCATCCCAAAGAAGAGAAACACATATTCCAATCCATCAGATATACCTGAGGCTTCACTCCCATTTTTAAGGACTGCTAGTTTTACTGGGGTTCTTGGCTTTTCAAAGGTTTAAAGCTTCAACAATTCACCATATAAGGTTAAAGAGGGAAATGTCTGTGTGCAGTGGCAGCCACCCCAGGGGGTACAGCAGCTGAATACACAGACCACAGCTTGCAGCAGAAACGTCACAAGGTGATGACCAGCATTAGTCATGGCAGAATGAGGGATACCTGGGTGACTCTCGCTCTGCCCTTGCCCACCTTATAGGAAGCAAAGTGCTGGGAGGAAAAGTGGGGAGGTCCAGAGCTGCCTCCCACAGGCAGTGCTGTCTGCAGAGCGCCCCCTTGTGGTCGGGAGCCATCACTGCAGTCGGGCCGTCAGGACCTTTTCTAACCCTCAGCTCTCCCCATTCTCAGGTGAAGACACTGAGATCATGTGTGAAACCCACATTTTTCGGCATTTACATTAGAAAAATTTTTGGAGAAAATATTTTAGTAATTTTCTTCAACATCAATTTCAGTACAAAAATAAGTGACTGTAATCAAAATTTTTTTTGTCCTTCAAATCACTGCTGGGGTGAGAGAAACCTCCTTAACATCCACCTCTATCCTATGGGCACAGGCCATAGGGTGGGTGCCACCCAGCCAGCACAGCTAGGTCCGGCTGTGAAGACTGTGTGGGGAGGGACAAGCAGATGCGAGGAAGCAAACATTTTTAGTACTTCTGGAAACAGGCAGCTTAAATTTGCAGGTTAAAAAGTGAAAACATTAAGTAGATTGTAGACCTGTACCTGCAAAACATGACTGGTCGCTGGAGTAAAATCAGAGTGTTAAGTCAGTTACAAAAGTTCTGAGGTGCGGAGAAGGCAGGAATTGCAGACTGGCTGTTGCTGGTGGTGGCGGAGGCTCAGGAAACGCTTGGCATGCCCCAGGGAAAGACACCAGCCCGTGACTCAATCTGTTTTCAGATTACTCTGTGGCCGTGTGTGGGATGGGCTGGATGAGGCTTGGCGGGAGTCCTGAAAGGCCAAGCAGGAAGCAGGGAAGGGACGCAGGGAAGAAAACACAGGGTCCCTGAAGAGCTGCGGTGCTGAGGAAGGAGCCCGGTAGGTCTCTCGGGTTGGGGTACCGTGGGGAAGTCGAGGTGGACTGAGAGGGAGCGGAGCAAGGGTGCCGTTTTCCATCAGCCTCACAGCCTAAGGGCTCTGTGGAGACTGGAGAACACCCAGGGTGCCGCTTGCTTTTTGAACCAGATGGAAAAGGAATATCTTGTTTTCCACAAACCTTAGGTTAAGTATCCTGGTTTTACGTGTGCCCTGGAGTATATGTGTGGACTTGGTTCCCAGTATGACAAAATACTTAACTCCCTATTAGGACGTCAGAGCACATCAGACCCTTGAAAATGTGCTAACAGTCCTTAATGAAGCCTGAAGCCTTCAATTAAATGAAACAGTGAGAAACAAAGCCCTGACATAAGTGCCAAGGGTGGTGGGGGGGCACAACACGTGGCGGGGGGCGCACAGTGGCCAGAGCTCTGGTTCCACTTCCTATCGGGAAGAATCACTTTTGAGAAGGGGGACCCAGTGGTGCGGCCCCCTCCACTGAGGCCTCTCATGGTGCCAGGCCACCTCACACCTCCCTAGGCCAGAGTTTGGGAAGAGAAGGGGAAGGCCCAGCTTCACCAAGGACACACAGGCTCCTTGTTCCCCAGGAAGTTTGCGCTTCGGTGTCAGGGCAGAGTGCCAGGTAGGGGACAACCCTCAGGCTGCATCCCCTCCCTGCCAGGGAGTGCAACCAGGAGCTTGGCAGGGAGGTGGAGCTGGCCAGTTTGAGAGAACTCACTCCTGGGGCTGCGGAGTGAGGACACAGTGGAGATGGTGACAGTGAAGACAAAAGAAAGATGGAGCACTGCCTCCATCCCCAGACAGGGGAATGAAAGAAGGAATGAAGCAGCAAAGGAAAATGACCTTTCCAGATCTCGATCAACAGTCTGGGTGTCCTGGCTCCTGCCCGGCCCCTCCTCTGTGGCCCCAGCAGGAGGCACTGTAGCCCCTCCGAGGCTAAGAGGACCAACAGCCCCCATGCCTTGGCCCAGGTCCAGTGCTGGCCAAGGCCCAGCTGGGTCATGCTCATCCCCCCAGACTCAGGCTGCCGTCCCTCTACCCTTTGCTGGGCATGAAGCCGTGGCTGGAGGACACAGGGAGCCACGGGGGGAAAAAAAAAAGTTTATTTAATCAGAGAGCCTTTGAAGGCACCTGGCTTGAGTATTAAAAAAAGGCAGTAAAATGGCAACTGTACAGGGTTCATGATGGGTAGGAACACGGGGAGGTGGCGGGGGAGAGGCACGTGGGGAGAAGGGGGCGGAAATATCAGATCGGACTTTAGAACAGACATTCCTGGCCCCTAGCAACCCCTGGTACAGGCAGATGGACAGACAGACAGACACACACTCTCTGAGCCAAGGAGCCTCTGCGGCTCTGCTCAGGCAGGGATCAGTCAGAGCCAAGTATGTAGGAGGGCACTTGAGCAGACACAGAGCCTGCATCCCCCCCTTGACTTGAACCCTCAGGCCCACAATGTCCCCACTGTCCATCCACAGAAGCTCTCTCCTTGGGGCCGGGATGCTGAGCCCAGCACAGGCCGTGAGAAAGCAGCAATCAGCTAGAAGAGAAATCCTCCAGGCGACCCCTGCCCACAATGAAGGAGGAAGCGGGCAGGAGCTGATGGCCAGGGCTGTCCTTCCGTCCATACTCGGTCACACGATTGCACGGAACAGGAAGGAGAAGACAGCCCCCAGTGCCAGGCCCAGAGAGAGAAAGAAGGCCATGATGGCTCCAGCTGTCTCTGCCTCGGCCGGCTTCACTTTCCTAAAGGAGGGAAGGCGAGCCTACCTTAGGATGGCCCCCACCCCAGCCTCACCCAGAGCATCCAATTCTGCTGACCCACCTACCCTACTTTCCCTCCTGGGGGACTTCTTCACCTGACCCCTCAGACGCCCCCTCCCCACCCCCACTGCCCCTAGTGCCCTCCCCGGCCATGTCCTCTCTCAGCCTGGAAACCAGGCTCGGGAGTCTCCTTGTGCCTCCTCTCCCTCTACTGAGTGCCTCCCTGCCACTGAAGCTTCAGGCCCTGCCTGAGGCCGCCACACTCCCCACTCACTTGGGCCCAAAGCACATGCACAGACTGGCGAGGTAGCCATTGGAGAAGGCGAAGGCGGCCATGAAGAAGATGAACCAGGCGTCGTGCTCAAAGACCACAGCCAGGTAGCGGCGGGGCTGGACATTACACAGCAGCAGCAGGGGCACGAAGGCCAGCCGGGCCAGCACCAGGCTTGGCAGCCAGAGGCTGTCCTTCCCCGGCTGTGGGGACCAGGCAGCGTCTCAGTCAGGCTGGCCGACCCCCAGGGCTCCCTTTGGGGCCCCTTGGGGTCAGAAGTGAAACCTCAAAAAGCCTAGTTACCCTTCGGAGGGGGCGTGGTAAAGCTTTCTGGAGTGTTGAAAACGTTCAACAGCTTGACCTGGGTGGTGGCTGTCAGGAGCGTGTGTACGTTTACATGTATGTATTCATATTTATTAAGCTGTACACCTACAACTTGTACACCTTACCGTATATAGATTATGTCTTGGTTTTTACAAAAGCATGGCCCTCTACTACCATACTTTCTTGCTTCCCTCCCTGGGTCTCAGACTGGACTCTCCCCTCCCACAGGGGTGTGGGGCCCCTTCTTCCACTTACCCACATGGTGAAGGCTGTGAGGCTCCGGCCCAGCCAGTCAAAGATGTTGAAAGTCAAGAAACAAGACACAGGAATGAAGTAGTTTCCTGGAATAGGAAAAGAGTAGATTAGTGGAGGGTTATCAGGTTCAAGAGAGGCAGGATCTAGCAACTGTGACCCTCACTGGGGCTCAGTTTTCCCAGGTGTAAGATGGAGAAGGTGCTTCCTTCCAGCCCAGGGAATGGCAAATGGACCAAGAGAGTCTGGCTGGGGAGGAAGCAGCCCAGGCTCCCCTCTCCCAGACTCCTAGCCCTGCTTGAGCTCCTGTCCCTTCCCCATCCTGGAACCCATGGTGTCCTCACTCCAGGCACTGGTGCCCGCAATGCTGGACTTGACCTCAGCAGCCACAGCAGGAAACATCCCAATGGTGATGGTGAAGACGAAGCACACGGAGAGAGCCGGGACTAAGATCTGGAGGAAACAGACCCAGGCCCGGGTCTTCATGGTGCTTGTGCATCATGAAAGAGCCAAGATTCCCCACCCCAAGACACACACACACGCGCGCGCGCACGCACGCACAAATTCAGAAAGTGGCCAGTCTCAGATCAGAAAGTGAGGGAATGGGCAGTGCCAGGAGAGGAGGAGGGTGGGGTGGGGAAATCAGGAACAAAAAAAAGAAGAGAAAGAGGGTGAGGGGTAGGCGGCAGGATACCCATGCCCCACATACATTTTTGAGGATGGCTCGGACAGAATGACTTTCGTTGGTGGGCTGAGAGTTGGGGGCTGAAATTCTGGACTCCTCTGGGCTTGCTTTTGACTCTTCTCCTGGGGGGTGACAGGTTGTAGAAAGATCCTCAGGTTGTGGGAAGGACCAAGCAACAGGAGATGACACAAACACTCCAAAAGGGCTGGAGTTAGTTGGGGTGGACACCCCCTTAACTGGTGTAAAGTCGCACCCTAACGCTTAACCTAGGCCACCTCTGGACCCACGCTGCAGGAGTCCCCTGGGTCCTGACCTCTCCCAGGTGCCTTAAGTCAGGTTATGCCCCGCCCAAGAATCTGCAATTGCTTCCCAACATCCTCAGGCGTTCAAGGTCCCCCAGGAGCTCCCCCATCTTCTCTCTCCCCACCTTTATTTACTGTGGTTACCCCTCAGCCCATCCCCGGTCCCTCTGGCATCCCTGCAGCTCACTCATTCTTGCCCTCTGCTCACGCCACCCCCTGCTGGGCAGGCCGTCCTCCACTCCAGCTTCCTCAGACCTTTACTTATGAGGTCCAGCTTGGTCTCCTGCTCCCCAGGCCCTTCGAGCTTGAGTTGCTGGTAATAGCGGTAGAATTCCTATCAAGTGAGGGGACAAGGGAGGTGGATTCAGAGGCAGAATCTCCAGAATTCCCACCTCCCCCAGGTTTGTCCTCGGAACACCCCTGGGTCTGGACTCCCCAAAACCCTGAACCTGGCTTTATCCATGTGCTCACCAGCCGCGGAAGGCCCAGGTAACAGACGATGGTCAAAATGATAACCCCACAGGCTGTGATAAAATAGCCGAAGGCACTTTCTGACAGCTCCGAGCCAGCTGGGGTGGAGGGTGCCAGTGATTAGAGCCAGGTCCCATCCCTTCTCCCCACAACAACCAGCACGACAGGTGGACAGACAGCAAGACTTACTGGCAATGGCGCAGATCATGGCCACAGAGGCAAAGAAGCCCGCCAGGCCCTGGCCACTCATGATGGGGGCTGTGTAGCTGGCGGGCAGGAGGCCGGCCAGGCCAAATAGGCTGCCCTGCAGGATGGCACCGAACGCTGGGGAACAGGGTGGGCATCAGCAGGGGAGGGGGGAGGGGGGAGCGGGGTGGGTGGGTGGGGCCCCTGGTAAAACAGTCCCTGCAATTCCCGCTTTACTCCCAGCAAGTCTTGTCACTGAGTAGCCCTTTCCTTTGCACCCACTCCCTGCCTTGGTCTGTGCCCACTCAGGTCTCTGAACCCTGACCTCCGGAGGGAGGAGATCTCTGCCCAGGTCCCCCCTTCCCCAAGCCCCACTTACAGTTAATGAGCATGATCTTGACCATGGTGATGACAAAGAAAGGCAGGGCATCCAGGGGAACCTTCACCAGGATGGCAGTGATCAGGAACAACAGCAGGATGGCCACCAGGCTGCCCAGGATCCGTACAGCCTGGGGGATCCTGCCGGAGAGGCCGCAGCAGCAGAGGCGGGTGGTGAAGCCAGGGGCTTGGCCCAGAGAGGGCAGGGAGGGCTCAGGCTGGGGGCCCAGGTGCTCACCTCTGGTGCAGGAAGGAGTTGAGGCAGGTGAAGAGCAGCAGTGGCAGCATGGCACACAAGGTCATGACGTTGTTGAAGATGGAGCTGAGGGAGTTCCGCTCTGGTGAGGGTGCTGGCGGGGTGGCCGAGGCCTGGATGTCCTCCCTGGGTTCAGCAGGGACCAAGGACACATTCTGGGACTGGTCCAGGCGGTTTGTGAAATACTGTGAAGGTTGCAGACAGGAGTGTTGGAATCTCTCTCTCTGTGCCCCCAAGTGCAGATCCAGGCCCCACGTGCACAGGGGACATGCCCCCTGGAGCCCGTTTCCCCCATCTCACCGCAGTGGCTGTCATGAAAAAATTCCAGGGCAGCAGCGTCCCCAGACCCAGCATGAAGAAGATAAGCCAGACAGCTTTGTACCTGGGGACAGGAGAGGAAAGCGGGGCCAGGTGACACACCATTCCACCTTCCTTCCTCGATCAAACCGGGGCTGCCCCTCCCCCGCCAGCTTTAGTATCTCTAGCCGGCCCAGGGCCCAGGGCATGTGTCCTCCTGAGGGTGTCTGTGGAGGGAGAGGTGACCTGATATGGGGGAAAGGGCACAGACCAGTCCTGAGGGGGAGGGGGCCAGGGACATGGGACCGAAGGGCATGGCTGAAAGGACCTTGGTTCTCAGACCCAAAGACTCGGGGGACCCTGCAGGCTTGGGAACCAGTGTGACCCACACGTCTAGAGGTGGTTTTGCTAAAAGCTGGGGGGGTGAGCGGGTGAATGAGAGAGCGAACACAAGTGTCTTCCACCCCCGCCGGGCAGGCTGGAAGTGATTACGCTGTCTGCGCAGGACTGTGTGGTTCCCCAAAGAGGACTCTGAGGTCAAGAAACTCCCAGACCGTTGTGGACCTAGTGGGGAAGGCAGGCAGGGTGCCTTGGGACAGCTGGGAAGTGAGGGAGAGGTTTTCTCCTGGCCGAGACAGAACCAGCTTTGTAGGTCACACCATGTAGGGCAGGCCAGGAGAGACCGGGCCATTGCACGTCATCCGAGCCCCAGAGTGTAAACAGTGCTGCCCAGCCTGGGCCAGGGCACTGCCCCAAGCCCTCCGCCTCAGGGCCTGTCTGGGATGGACAGCTTCCCCCAGGCAACCCTGGGCCTTCCCACTGTGGTCTCCAAATGTGTCTGCCATGCTCTCCCCAGAGATAAAACCCACTTTCTTCACAGAGCTGACAGGGACAAGCCCAAGACAGTGAGGAGACGGGTCTAGCCAGCACACAGGGCCTGGCCCCACACAGAGAGGCCCTGGGTGAGTGCCCCAAGTGAGAAGACCTGAGCCCTGACAACTGCAGCCCCCCACCTTCCTCATACACTCCCCACCTTGAAGAGAGGCGAGGGCTTGATTCAGAGGTCCAAATGACAGGGGAAACTCCCAGCCAAAGGCACTCAGGATAGAAGGGAAAAGTGGGGCTGGGTGAGTGTGACAAGGCCGATGGAGAAGGCAGAGGGGTTCAGACAGCTGCCACCAGAGTTGGGGCAAGGGGATGTTGGCAGGCAGTCTGGGAACGGAGGACACCAGGGAGGGGACCAACCAAACAACCTGGGGCCTGTACTTATACTTTACAGGTAGAAAACTGTCCCAGAGAGATCAAATTAGCGCCCAAGGTCCTGCAGCCAGAAGTGCCCTAGTTCTGTGGCCTTTGGCCCAGGGAGATAGGATGGGCAGGGGAGAGGTGATGGGGTTGGGGGGCCCAAGTGGAAGGATGGTTTTGATTCCAGGCGTGGCTTCAGCTTTCTAGGGTCCCAGACTCCTTGGAGAACTTGAATCCCCCTACAGCTTCTCCCCCCAACACACGATCACGGCTGTGGGTCTAAACTGGGGAGAACTTCTGGCTCCGGAGGTGGGGGAGTGAGAGGAAGGTCAGTGCGAGGACCAGGGTGGGCCAGGGTCATCTGAAGCAGAGGCCCCAGGGCAGCCCTGAGGGAGAGGGCAGCTCTGCCAGATGCACTCTGGAATGAGGGGTGCTGCCAAATGTCTCCCCATGGTGGTGGCGGGAGGAGCCGGAAGCGGTTGGAGCCCAACAGTGGAAACACTGACAGGCCAGGGAGGGGCTCCCGCCCACCCGCCCTGGGCCTTCCCCAAACACCCCAGCCAGCACCCAGCCTCAGCAGTGCAGGCCCCCACCCCTGGTGCAGACCTAACTCACAGCTACTTGGCTGGAAGGCTACTCAACCCCAGACTCCCAAGGGCACAGCCCCCAGCCCCATGGAGACCCATTTCCACTCCCCAGGACTCCCAGCCCCAGGTCCCCCAGTACCTGTCCTGAGGCTGGTGACTGGTTGTCATGGTGACTGCGTTGGTTATGCCTGGCTGACAGCTTCCTCCCTCTGGCGCTTGCTGGGGGCAGAAGCAGTGTGAGGCCCTGTCTCGGCCCTGCTTCCCCACAGGCCTCTTCAGAGTTGGGGGGGGGGGGGCAGGGCGTACAGAGCAGGCAAGCTGAGGAGTCCAGAAGGCGCCCCCCCGACCTCGCCCTCGCCTCTCAGGACTCG